TGCCAGTGGTTAGTTGCCAGCATTTTCCCTGTGCCCGAAGAATAGTGGGAGCTACTGTGTGCTGAGCTCTCTGCCCAAGATATTGTCCCCTTTGAGTCCTCGTATTAGAGCAAACTGTACAGAGAGGCCTGAAGAGTCTGCCACCAGTCTGTGCCAGGAGTTTTCTGAGCTCTCTCACTCGGGTCTGGTGGGCCTGAGCAGTATGAGCATAGTGGATGCCGAGTAAGGCTGTCACCAGCTGGGGTCCTGTCCTCTGGCCTGGATGATGAAATGGGTTACACAACCTGTGTAAATGTTCCATTGTGTTTAAATATAGACCATCTCCTGAAGCAAGGTTTTGTCTGGCCTAAGCGAGACCATTGTATGGATGACTGCGGCCAGCTATGGTGCTGGGGAGCGGTGTCACCAACCCTGGCCTGTATGTGCCTCCCCAGGGTCCTCTACCAGCAGCCTGGTCCCCGGCCCCGAGCCGGGTCCCCCACCCACCCTGCATGTCCAGGCTCAGGTGAATAACAGCAACAACAAGAAAGGCACCTTCACGGATGACCTTCACAAGCTGGTGGATGAGTGGACCAGCAAGACAGTGGGGGTTGCTCAGTTGAAGCCATCACTCAACCAGCTGAAGCAGACACAGAAGCTGCACAACATGGAGGCCACGGCTGGCTGGGCTCTTGGGCCTGGCGAAATACAGGCTGTAAGTGGGGTGTGGTGGCGGCAAAGCTACAGGGTGGGAACAGGGCTTCTACCCCAGATCTTAGAAGAGCAGCAGAACCCAGGGTCACCCCTTGTTGTGTTTTAAGGTGTGCCCAGACCACATGGGGGCAGAAGTCAGGAGCTGTTTTCTTACTTAGGTTGTGTGATGCATTCCTGTGTCAGGACTATGCCAACTTCAAACCTACTTAGAAGAATATTTCCTCTTTTTCAATCTTCTGGAGGAGTTTGTGCAAGATTGTGTTATTTCTTCCTGAAACACTTAACAAAGTTCATTTATGAGATCGTCTGGGCTAGGAGTTCTTTTTTTTTTGAATGTGCGTAGATTCCCCTCTGACCTTTTATTTTGAAGAATTTTGAACATATGGAAGAGTTGAAAATTCTGTAGTGAACTCTCACGTATCCCGTCTGCACTCTGTGATTGACATTTTGCTGTTTTTATTACACATCTGTCTATCCCTTGAAGGTTGTAAGGTTTTCATAATGGATTCAATTTCTTTTATAGTTTTATACCATGTGGAGTTTCTCTTTCTTTTTTCTGTTAAACTCTGCTTTTCTAGCATTTGGTACATATCTAAATTTATCTAAGTTTAATTAATCAAGTCCATAATCTTTTTTCACCCTTTGTAGAATTTGGAGTGATGTCTTTTTTTTCATTCCTGAAATTAGTCCACTCTCTCTCATTTTCTCCTTATGCAGTCTCTTTAGGGGTTTATAAATTTTATTAGCCTCTTCAAGGAATTTGTTTTGGTTTCGATGATATTCTTTATTATATATTTCATTAATTTCCTTTTATTTCTTTCCGTCTATCTTTTGGTTACTTTTTTTATTTTACAAAGTGTCTTGAGATGTGCAGTTCATTGATTTCCAGCCTTTCTTTTTTTGAAGGACAGTCTTCAGGCTATAAAATTTCCTCTAAAGGTTTTAGTTGCATCTCAAAGATTTTGTTATGTAGTGTTTTCTTTGACCTTCCATTCAAAATATTTTGCAATTTCCACTATGATTTTAAGTAACATAATTATTCATTTCCTTGTGATTTTTTATTACTGTTTTTTTTTTTAGCCTAATTATACCGTAATAAGAGAACAAATTTTGAGTGTTTTTAGTTTGTTTAAATTTGCTGGGACTGGCGTTTTGATTGAAGTTGTCAGTGTTGGTCACTGTCCATGGATGCTTGGGGCCAGCATCTTTTCATTCCCTCTCATATCCACACTCCCAGTCTCTTCTGAACGACCTCAGCACCCTCCTGATAGTTACACCTCCATCTGTCTAACTCCTTAAGTCCATTCTCCATTATTCTGCAGCAAAGTCGAGAATCCTTAACATGGACCCAAGGCCCTGTAGGGTCTGTGCCCTGAACCCTGGGAGGCTTGTCATGCACACACAGGCCCCACAGCACCTGTGCTGGGCTATGCCCCGTCTGTCCGTCCTGCTGATCTTAGTGTTCAGATGGCTGGGATTCTTACTAAGGTTTTGTTTTTATTTTGCTATTTTTTTGTGGTAAATCTATATAACATAAAATTTACCATTTTAATCATTTTAAAGTATATAGTTTAATAGTATTATGTATGTTCACAATGTTGTGCAACTATCACCACTATCCATATCTAGAACTTTTTTATTATCCCAAACAGAAACTACTCATTAAGAAATAACTCTCCAGTTCTCTCCCTCTGGTACCTCCAGTTATCTTGCCCCTGTTAACTTTTAATTCTACTTTCTGTTTCTATGACTGTGAATACTTTAGGTACCTCATATAAGTGGAATCGTATAGTATTTGACTTTTCCTGTCTGGTTTATTTAATTTACCATAATGTTTTTAAGGTACATTTGTATTGTAGCATGTTTTAGAACTTCATTCTTTTTTTTTTTATTGTGGTAAAATACATATAACATAAAATTTGTCATCTTAACCATTTTTAAGTGCCGGTTCAGTGGCATTAAGTACATTAATATTGTTGTTCAACTATTACCACCATCTATCTCCAGAATTTTAAAATTTTGCAACATAAAAATTCTGTACTCATTGAAAAATACCTCCCCATTTCTTCCCCTGCCCCCAGCCCCCGGCAGCCACCATTCTACCTTCTTTCTCTATGAATTTGATTATTCTAGGTCCTCATGTAAGTGGAAAGATACAATATTTGTTTTTTTATAACTAGTTTATTTCATCAGGGTTCATCTATGTTGTAGCTTGTGTCAGAATTTCCTTTTAAAGGTTGAATAATATTCCATGTGTATACGCTACATTTCATTTATCCATTCATTTATCCACGGACACTTGGGTTGCTTCTACCTTTTAACTATTGTGAATAATGCTACTATGAACATCAGTGTACAGATATCTTTTTGAGATTCTGCTTTCAGTTCTTTTAGGTATATATCCAGCAATGGAATCACTGGATCACATGGTAATTCTGTCTTTAATTTTTTGAGGAATTGCTACACTGTTTTTCAGGGTGGCAGCACCATTTTATATTCCCCTCAACAACACACAAAGGTTCTAGTTTTTCCTCATTTTTGCCAATACTTTTTATTTTCTGATTTTCTAAATGGTAGTCATCCTAATGGGTGTGAGGTACAATATCTCATTGTAGCTTTGATTTGCATTTCCATCATGATTAGTAATGTTGACATATTTTCATGTGTTTTTTGGCTATTTGTATATCTTCTCTAGAGAAATAACAATTCAAGTCCTTTGCTCATTTTTGAATAGCAGTTTTTGTTGTTCAGTTGTAGTTCTTTATATATTCTGGATATGAATCCCTTACCAAATATATGATTCACAGATATTTTCTCCCATTCTCTGTGTTGACTTTTTACTCCGTGGTTAGTACCTTTTAATGCACAAAAGTTTTTAATTTTCATGAAGACCAATTTATCTATTTTTTTCTTTTGTCGTGTCTGTCTTTGGTGACATATCCAAGAAATCATTGACAAATCCAACGTCAAAGCTTTCCCCCTGTAATTCTTTCTAAGAGTTTAATAATTTTAGCTCATATGTTTAGCTGCTAACTTCTTTCCATCTTGAATTAATTTTTGTATATGGTGTTAGGTTAGGGCTCAGCTTCTTTTCTTTTGCATGTGGATATCCAGTTTTCCTAGCAGAATTTGTTGAAAAGACTCTTTTTCCCATTGAATGTTCTTGGCATCCTTATTGAAAATCACTTAAACATGTGTGCAAAGGTTTATTTCTGTATTCTGTATTTTGTTGGTCTGTATGTCTTTTGACAATTTCATACTGCTTTGATTTATGTAGCTTTGTAGTAAGTTTTGGAACCAGGAAATGTGAATCCAACTCTTTTTCTTTTTCAATGTTGTTTTGGTTATTGGAAGCCTCTTAAGAATCTTAGTGAATTTTAGTTTTTTTTTTTAATTAAAAAATTGCCATTGAGACTTTAATAGTAATTTCATTGAATCTATATATTACTTTGGGTAGTATTAACATGTTAACAATACTAAATCTTCTAAACCATGAACATGGGATATCTTTCCATTTATTTATGTCTTCTTTAATTTCTTTTAGCAATGTTTTGTAGTTTTCAGGATGTTAGTCTTTCAACTCCTTAAATTTATTCCTAAGTATTTTATTACTTTTTATATTATTGTAAAATGAAATTTTTTTTAATTTCGTTTTTAGATTATTAGAAATACAACTGACTTTGTACCCTGCAACTTTGCTGAATTCATGAATTAGCTCTAACAGGTTTTTGTTTCTATTTTTGTGGGGGGGTGTGTGTGTGTGTGTGTGTGTGTGTGTGTGTGTGGATTTTTTTAGGGTTATCTACATGTAAAATGTCGCCTCTGAACAGAGATAATTTTATTTCTTTCCAGTATGTTTGCCTCTTATTTTTTTTCTTGCTTAATTTCTCTGGCTAGAACTTCCATTATGATATTGAATAGAAGTGGCAAAAGCAAGGATCCTTGTCTTTTTCCTGATTTTAGAGGAAATACTTTGAGCCTTTTACCATTGAGAGTGATATTAGCTATGGGATTTTTATGTATTTAGCCTTCATCATATTGAGGAAATTCCATTTGTTTCTAGTTTATTGAGTGTTTTTATCATGAAAGAGAGTTGGCTTTTTTCAAGTGCTTTTTCTGTATGAATTGAGATTTTATCCTTCATCTTATTAATGGTGTATCATATTGATTTTCATATGTTAAACCACTCTTGCATTCCTGTGATAAATCCCACCTAGCCATGGTGTATACTCCTAACATACTACTGAATTTGTTTTGCTAGTGTTTTATTGAGGATATTGGCATCAGTATTCATCCCCTGATAAATATTAGTCTGTAATTTTCTCTTCTTGTGATGTGTTTATTTATCTTTGGTATCAAGGTAATGTTGGCCACATAGAATGAGTTAGGAAGTGTTTCCACCTCTTCCAACTTCTTAGAAGAGTTCGAGAAAGATTAGTGTTCATTCTTTAAATGTCTGGTAGACTTCACCAGTGAAGTCATCTATCTGGTCCTGAGCTTGTCTTTGTTGAGAGGTTTTTGATTACCGATTCAATCTTACTACTATTGTAGGTCTGTTCAGATTTTGTTTCTTCTTGAGTCTGTTCTAGTAGTTTGTATGTCCCTGGAAATTTTTATATTTCATGTAAATTATCCAATATGGTAGCTAAAACTATCAATTTGTCGATATTTTCAAAGAACTAACTTTTGGTTTTATTGGTTTTTCTCTATTGTTCTTCTATTCTTTATTTTGTTTACTTTTATTATGATATACAGTTAGGTTATTGATTTAAGATCTTTTTTAATGTAGGCTTTTTCAGCTATAAATTTCCCTCTGAGAACTTCTTTTTCTTTATCTTATAAATTTAGATGTGATGTATTTTCCTTTTCATTTGTTCTAAAGTATTTTCTAATTTCTTTTACCCTTCGGTTAAGAGTATGTTGTTTAATTTCTGCACATATGTCAGTTTTCTAGTTTTCTTTTTGTTATTGATTTCTAATTTTTTTCATTGTGTTAGAAAA